GAGCTCGTCAGCACAGAGCACAAGCTGCAGAAGGCGGGCTTCTCGGCAGTGTTCACAGCAGCGCGGACAAGCGACAAAAGCGAGACAGGCACTTGCGGAAGCACGGGGGTCCTCGTCAAGGGCCACCTCAAGGCGACGTCGCACCGACACCAAGGACCACGTGCTGCAGTTCTGGGTGCAACCACATCAGACGCCCACAGCTCGCAGCACGAGACCTTCAACATGTGCGACTGGACGCCAGTCACACTGCACATGCGCGGGTCCCAGCTCCTCATCACTCCATCTATCTAGACCCGTCCCACTCCACCACCGGCGGCGAGAACTCCAGGAAGCTAACGTCGCTGGCTGCGTTCTTCAGTACTACACGCGCACCTTGGATTCTCTGCGGCGGTTTCAACAGGCCGTACAAGGACGTGGTACAAGCAGGATGGCCAACCGCCCTCGGTGCTACAGCATACGTCGGGCTCGACAACGACCAGGACACCTGCTTCCTCGGCGAAGCCCCACCCTCCAACATCGACTACGCGTTGGTCAACGAAGGCGGACAACGACTCGTACGAGGAATCCAACCAGTGCACGACGTACCATGGAAGCAACACATCGGGCTCGACATCACTATCAGAGCGGACGTGGACTTCAACCGCAGCCGATGACTACAGCTACCGAAGGCCTTCCCACGCCCATCACAGCCCAAAAAGACCAAGACGACGAAGAAGACAAAGAGAGAAAGAGGAGCACAACGACGACGCCCACGACTACGACGCCGTTCGACCAAGACGCCGAAGAATCAGCACGATGGGAGGCGCTTGGGCCGCACGGATGGCAACACCACCCAACCACAGCACCCACGACCACTCCTACCGCAGCGCCACCACCACGACACAGCACGATGGACGAAGATGGTAACGAACCTTTCGACTTCGTGGACGACGACCTCGAGTTCGCCCTACACTACGACGGCCAACTACCCCACCACCACTTCGACGACGCCCACGACATGGTCGACCTCCTAGGCGCCACCGACCGAGGCTCAAAGGGCCGAAGTCAGCAACATAAAGAACACCACCGTGGAAGCGAATTCAGAGCCGGACGACGACATGGACTGCACTGGCGCTCAAAGGGAGCCACCGCAGATACCACTACTCGATCGACTTAATGCACGAGCGCTCGAGACCGACACCAAAAACATGGACGACACGTGGGAAGTGGCAAACATGATGCACCACGGCCCCGCCAGCACAGCCCCGCCCTACATCCAGAACTGTGCCGCCTACCAGGTCGACCCCGACAACACCGACCAGCTAGGCGCGTTATACCAACACCTCATCAGCACGCTCGAGACGTTCTACTGCATCGCGTACCACATCCCACTGGAAGACCGTCACCACTTCCTCGGCCGCGGGCAAGCATGCGAATTCAAGACGCAACAGTCACGGAAGCCAGACCACCAACAACGATACGCATCCCACAGATCCGACTGGTGGAGCCGCACGGAGAACATCCTCAGCATACTGGTCAAGCTACCAGGACGACGCCTGGCACGTGAAGGACTACCACGACTCGGACGCCATGCATCGGACTCGGCACGACTGCACCACCAACTTTGGAAGCAACGGCTCAACAACCTCGAAGACACCCCCAACTGACACACTCCAGGGCATGGCACAACAAGCGCAGGACAAGAAGATCAACGCCCTCCAACTGGATCTACGCATCAGCCAACGAGACTACAGCGCGTGGCTCGCGACAACCAGCGCGACGCCTGGAGTGCTACACAAGATCGCCAAACCAGCGCCACGTCGGGAGCGGGAAGTTGTGATCCAAGGCGAAGCGCTACGCAGCCCGCTCGAAATCGCTGACGCCAAGGCCACAGACTTCACCAAGGCCTGGACATGCAGCGACATCCCACACCTCCAGCACCCAACGCTACCAGCAACGCTCCGAGAACGAGCACGAAGCGAAGACCCCAGTACACCGTGGACCGTAGGAGGACCTCGGCCGCTGCCTCAAAGGAGAGCCCGACAAGGGAAACGCCGTCGACGTCATCAGGTGTAGCGACATACGACGCCTACCACGACCAGGACGCCAAGCAGTCATCGACCTCTTCATTCTATGCGAGCACCGACTGACGTGGCCTTGGCAACTGCTGCTGTCCATCGTCATGATCATCCCGAAGCCGAAGATAGGGGACCGTGCGCTGGCGCTACTTCCACACCTCTTCCGGTGCTGGGAGCTATTACACAGAGACCGAGTCCACCAATGAGCTGCAGACCAAGAGCGAGAATGGGATGCAGCCATCGCGGGCAACAGCTGCCTGCGCGAGGCGCTACGACGACTTATCACCGACGAGTGCGCGGACACCCTCCACATGACAGAGTCCACCCTCCTGGCAGACATCGAGAAGTTCTGCGACAGCCTTCGGATCGACGAGGCCATCCCAGTCGTGCTCCACATGCAGTTCCCAGCGCGGCCACTCTACCCATCGGTCGGAAGAAGTAGGTAGAAACATGAAGTAGGAAGGCGTTGGAAATAGACTGGGTTTCCGCCCGCCTCCTGAAGAGGAGGGAAGAGGGAAACCCACTCGACTCTTGAAGTAGGAAGGCGCTCAAAGCAGATTGGAATCTGGGAATCCAAAAATACCTGCTTTCAACGACCGATGGCTACCTCATGATGCTGCAGCATTCCGCAGCACCAGCGCGACGACGACAAAGGATCGTACTCCGAACCCGCTCCACGCAGACCGCGCCATTGCTGGCAGGCTCACGGCTCCCGGCGCGCCAGCAGTGCAGCGCGCACCGCTGTGTATTTGCGGCGCTGGCTACATTCACCGATGCCAGCGCACTACCTCGACCACTACCGCGCGCTTGGGCCGACGATACCGGCATCCGCATCGTGGGCAGCAGGTCAAAGATCACCACTGCCGCTGTGACCACCACCCACAGCCTCTTCCTGGCACTACAGGAACAGGGGCTCCGTCTCGCAGACAGAACCACACTGAGGACCACGAACATCAAGGATACCAAAACAATCCAACGCCAACTCCGAGACCTCGGCATCGACGCACAGGCATGGAACGTTCTGGAAAGCTCTGCAAGCGTTCCAGAAATCTCTGGACCGACTCATGTCGATACGAGCACTGCCGATGATGATGATGATGATGATGATGATGATGATGATGATGATGATGATGATGGTGGTGGTGGTGGTGGTGGCGATGGGAATTATAATGATGATGCTGACGATGATGGTGATGATGCTAAACATGATAAAGATGATGATGGTGATGGTGATGGTGATGATGATGATAATGATAATGATAATGATGATGATGATGATGATGATGATGATGATGATGATGATGATGATGATGATGATGATGGTAATGGTGATGGTGAGTGTGATGCTGGTGCTGATGCTGCTGATGCTGATGTTGTTGATGTTGACGTTGATGATGCTGATCATGCTGAGGATGGTGATGGCGATGGTGATGATGAGGATAATGACGGCGATGGAGATGCTGATGGTGATGGTAATGATGACGAGGATGTTGATGCTTATGGTGACGGTGTTGATGCTGATGATGCTGATGATGTTGACGACAACAATGCTGATGACGGTGCCTGTAATGGTGATTATGTTGATGATGGTGATCAGGATTATACTGATGATGCTGATGATGATGACGACGGCAGTGCTGATGATGCTGATGGTGATTGTGATGGTGATGATGTTGTTGATGATGATGATGCTGATGATGATGATGATGATCATGGTGGTGATGATGATGCTGATGATGGTCATGATGGGGATGACGATGACGATGACGATAATAATCGTGATGGTGATGGCGATGGTGATCTTGACGATGACGATGATGATGCTGATGTTGATGTCGATATTGGTGTTGTTCATGATGGTGCTGGTGCTGATGTTGATGATGCTGATGTTGATGATGATGATACTAATGCGAATGCTGATGCTTATGATTATGCTTATGCTGATGCTAATGATGCTTATGCCGCTGATGCTGATGATGCTGTTGATGATGCTGATGATGCTGCTGCTGCTGCTGATGAAGATGAAGATGAAGATGAAGATGAAGATGAAGATGAAGATGATGATGATGATGATGATGATGATGATGATGATGATGATGATGATGATGATGATGATGATGATGATGATGATGATGATGATGATGATGATGATGATGATGGTGTAGTGATCTTCCTCGGGCGCGAATTGATGGGGGGCGATAAGGGGGGGGAGATAGAGGTGACCTTTTCGGACCCTAAAGGGCCCCCCTGGGCCCTACATGGTCCATTCAGGGGCCCTGCAGGGCCTGTTTTCGGCAGCCCTCGCTGCCACCCCAGTCGTCGCCCTCCCATTTCGGGAGCGGCCAAGAGGGGGGTGTCCAAGAGGGGGGGGGGTGCAAAGCATGACCGGCGGCATGTGCGCGGCCCAGCGGGAGGGCCAGGGACGTAATGGAACAAGAAGAGGCGCCATGACGTCTGGGGAAATGTCATGGCCCGCGCCATGATACCCACCCACCCCCAGTCATCACCCCCCTCTTTTCCGCCCCCGACCATTCCGCGGCCTCCATCCCCAGACATGCGACGTCCTGATTTTTTCAGGACGGCGCCCCTGGAAAGCCCGACCCTTCCCCCGGGACCGGTCTCTCATCCGGAGTCGTTCTCTGACGGCCCCGGGGCCCGGCGAGGGCCCCCGAGGGTCGAAAATAGCCAAAAACCTCCCGTCCTGATGTCCGGGGTAAGTCGGGTTTGGATTCCCGAAACAGAACCCGAGTTAGCCCTGACCCGAATTACCCCTGATGATTCGGGGCTCTGGACGCCCGAGTTATCCGGGGTAACTCGGGTCCGGGGGGTAACTCGGGCTTGGATTCCCGAAAAACGAACCCGAGTTATCCCTGACCCGAGTTACCCCTGATGATTCGGGGCTCTGAATCTCCTCCTCGCAGAGCGGCCCCCCGGGCCGAGCTCCTGCACCCGGGCGCCCAGCGCCCCCGCGCCCGAGGCGCGGCCCCCGCGCCTCGGGCGCGGGGCCGCGGGCGGCGTCCTCGCGGGCCGCGGCGACGACCACGACGACCACGACGACGACGACGACCACTGACGACGACGACGACGACGACGACGACTGACGCCCTCCATCCTCCTTCTGACGCCTCCTCCTTCTTGCCTGCGACGTGCCTTGGAGGTCGCTGGGGAGGCAGCGCTGTTCGACTTCGTCGGGGGTTGCCAAAGGTGCCCCTGGCACAAGGTGCCCCCAGCTTGTCGCTCGAAATTGGAGTCCCCGGGGCCGTCTGGGAGTCGTGGGGGGTTCCCTGAAGGCCGTAGGGCCTCCTTGGAAATCCTGGGGGCACCTTGGGCCAGGGGCACTTCTAGCAACACCCGACTTCAGTCGGACCTAGGCCAGAAGAACGTCTCTCAAGAACATGAGGCCCTACGCCGTCCAGCACACCCCAAACCTCCAGATCATTCGAGTGTGCCAGCCCTAGGATGCACTAGAAATCACATAGACCATCCTAAGGTACCCTCCCCAGGATGCACAAGAACATCCAACAAAGAACGAAGAACATGAGGGTACCCTCCCCGAACCGACCTCGATCTTGTACCTCGGTCCGACTGTACGCGCAAGAGTGACCCTGGATAAGAGTAACCTTTTGTGGTGGGGGGGGTCGGGACCGCGGGGGGGCCAACAAATCCAAGCGCGCAAGACGCTGCTGTCGCATCGCGTTCAGCGATCGAGGGACCCTATGGGGCCCGCACCAAAGGTAACTCCTGCGCAATGTCATTCCTACGTCTAGTCGACTTGCTCTCAGAGCCAGATCACAGTACGCTCGGCCGGCGAGCTTGATTCGTCAAAGGCAACCCTTACGACCCCCATTCGGCTCGGATCTGAGACTTCCTCTTACTGAAGATGTAGCTGCTTAGGCTTCCTCTTCCCCTATCAGTATTACCCCTCCTCCGTCGCCCCAGAAACACATATCGCGTTCGCTGCTCCTCATCGAGCTTCAAGACATGATGGCGCCCCGAAAAAAGCATAACGTTGTGTTCCCCCGTGTGCTGAAAACTCTAAATGGGCATATGTTCGCCGTCTCGTCCTCTATATGGGCCCTCACTGGACCCCAGGACCGTCAAACAACTACTGGGGATGAAACGTCGTTCCTGTGCAGAGGGTCGGGGCTTCTGGAGACCGTGTGCTGAACAAAGCAGGAACTCACATATCCGGGGAGGCAAGAACCAACATAAGCGTAAACTTTCGGAGGTCTTGCGCGCGAAGACCGCTAGAGAGAGGGGCCCTTGGCGCACCGAAAACCATACACAAAGTTTTGGAATGTGTCCAACCTGCTCTACGATGGTCCCCCTAATCCCACCAGCCCCCTGGGCGTAGGTGGTCTGAGAATAGTTCTTGCCTCTCCCAAAACCCCTCTTCCCCTCGGGGAGGGGTGCCCTCTCCCTCCCTTTCCTGAGGGGGGTTCGCGATGTGTCAGGGGGCCTTGTTCGCCCGAGATGATTCCAAGAGAGCTCCGATGCTTCAAGATGGGCTCCAGGATCTCAAGCTAACAAGACGATGGCATGGCCCCCAAGAGCGCGAGCAACGGAAATCGAAGACCCACCCACTTTTGGTGGAAGCCCTCGAAAATGACCCCAAGAGGCCCTCGAAGGCTCCCAAAAGGCCCCCAAGAGGGCTCCCATAGGGCACCCATACAAAGGGGACCCTAAGATGGCGTCCAGAAGACCCCGAGATGGCTGCCAGAGTCTTCGTCCTTCTCCTTCTTCTCCTCGTTGTATTCGTGTTCTTTTCTTCCTTGCCCTCCTCCTCCTCCTGTTCCTCCTCGTCCTCCTCCTCGTCCATGTCTTCAACCTCGTCCTCCTCCACAATATCTGTCCTTATCATTGGTCTGATCAGGCTGATCCAGAACTTATTCCATACCATGCTTCTTCGATGTCCTCGTCATGGCACCTCGACTGGGCATCTTCTCTGCACGGGCTGGTGGGCATACGCGAAACGTCAATCATTGCCCGAGTCACTAGAGTGTTGGCGCAACGCTCGCACATTCCTACGTCGTCGCCCCTCATAGCCTCCAAGACTGCACAATTGAAGGGGCCCTGGGACACACAAATAAATACACACAAATAGCAGGATTCCCTATATTTTCCAATATTTTCTGGATGTTTGCCTTCCCCCCCACTTCCCATACTTTCCCATATTTTCCTGGGGTCGATGAAATTGTGTCTGTGTTTTTTCCCTCCTGAACAAGCAGCCCCTGACATCGCTGCAACGTGGCCCAGCAGCGCCGAAAATGGGCACTGGACGCTCACGAGACGGCCCCGCGAGGGGCCCAAGAGGGGGCACCGCCGAGGAGGCTCCTCGCGCCCGCCGCCCCGACATGGGCCCGAGGTCCCCCGGGAGACGCCCGCGGGAAGCTCCCGGAGGTCCTCAAGAGGTCGCCAACCTATCTCGACAGGCCCCATGACAAAAAACCCAACCACCTCAAACATGCCTCAAAGAAGCATCTGACAGGCCTCTCAAGAGGCCTCTTCGTGGCGGGCTTGGCCAGCTGCCGACCACGTCCCCAAAACATCATAAGGGACCACCGAAAGTCTCAGATAAGGCACCCACGGAGCTTCGAAAGAGCCTGAAAGACGCCTGTAAGAGGCCCCCAACAGCCATCAAGGGCGCCAGATGCTTGATAATATCCTCGTACATGGTATTTGCGTAGGGGATGACAGCGATCGAGGAGCTGAGAATATTCTCGCACGCACGGAGACTGCAAAGAAAACAACACACAATCATAATCCGCCAACCCCGTGCGAGTACACTCCGTGCACGAGGTCGCTGTCTCGTTCGCAACCCATCCACTATGAGCTCGGGCCCAAACCTGGCGGGCGCAAGCCTGGAAAATGACGGCCGCGGCGCCCTCTCGAACACCGAAAGCGGACAATCCACTAATCGACGTGTCAGGGTGGGGGTTCTGTCCACCCCCGACCTCAGAAAGCCTGCAAGAAGCCGAAATCGTGCCCAGATACGGGCTCCAAACAAGCCACAGCCGAATATTGAGCAGGGACCGACCGTCCCGGCATTCCTACAGTCCTACCACGACATGTTCTTCGAACCCAACAATGCCCTAAGAACAAAAACGATACTCTTAGAACATAAACCCGATGTGTTCAAACAAGACATTCTCAGCCAGAAATATTCTAAGAACATTTCGTGCAGACCACGAGAGGTTCTTAGAACATTCTCTGGTGGGCCTGTATAGGCGAGCCAAGACGCTTCGCCACAGCCGGACCGAGCATCAGGAGGCCCCGACACGCAAACTCCGTCGCGCCGAGACGGCCGGCCCCAGAAGGCCTAAGACGACCCCCCGACGCCCCTAAAAGGTCCCAGCGTGGCGGGCAAGCTCCCTCGTCAGCGCTCTTGTGTGAGACACGCAAAATGACCGCTTCCTTCCTCAGCATCTCGACATTGCGCGGAAAGGGGGGGGTGTCTGGCTCCGGACCTCTGCTTAACGCGACTGTTTGCAACAGCGCGTCCTATGGAGGAGAGACTCCACCTGCTCGAAGCAGGCGCCGAAAACAACCAAGACCGACTCCATGGGGGGGAGGTGCGACGACACGCGCCGATCGGCAAAACAATTATCCTGGCGAAAGACCCAACCATACGCAAATGTGAAAAACGCAAGGCAGGTGGGACGAAGCAAGGGGACTTTCCTATGGGGCCACGAACCGTGTGAAGGGGTGCGCCAAAATGGGGCGGGGCCGCCATGAGAACCCTGCCACTGGGGCCTTCGGTGGAGCTCCCTATGGGGCCACGAACCGTATGAGGGGCGCGCCAAAATGGCGCGGGGCCGCCATGCGAACCCTGCCACTGGGGCCTTCGGTGGAGCTCCCTATGGGGCCGCGAACCGTGTGGGGGGTGCGCCAAGATGGGGCGGGGCCGCCATGAGAACCCTGCCACTGGGGCCTTCGGTGGAGCCCTCTATGGGGCCACGAACCGTGTGAGGGGTGCGCCAAGATGAAGCGGGGCCACCATGCGAACCCTGCCACTGGGGCCTTCGGTGGAGCCCTCCATGGGGCCACGAACCATGTGAGGGGTGCGCCAAAATGGGGCGGGGCCGCCATGCGAACCCTGCCACTGGGGCCTTCGGTGGAGCTCCCTATGAGGCCACGAACCGTGTGAGTGGTGCGCCAAAATGGCGCGGGGCCGCCATGCGAACCCTGCCACTAGGGCCTTCGGAGCAGCTCCCTACGGGGCCACGAACCGTGTGAGGGGTGCGTCAAAAGGCGGGGCCGCCATGCGAACCCTGCCACTGGGCCCTTCGGTCGAGCTCCCTATGGGGCCACGGACCGTGTGAGGGGTGCGCCAAGATGAAGCGGCGCCGCCATGCGAACCCTGCCACTGGGGCCTTCGGTGGAGCTCCCTATGGGGCCACGAAACGCTGTACTGGGTGGGTGAAACGCAGGGAGGAGGGGGGAATAAGAAGAAGAGGAAGATTTTTTTAACGCTCGACCTCTGCTTGACCCCCAACGAGTGGGGACCGCCTCTCCTCGCGGCACAGTCCAGGGAGATGGCAAAAACTGTACGTTCTTCTCCCTCTTGATCTGCTGTGGGCGTCGGCCTTGAATAACATAGTTCCAGGCCGTAAGTCCTGCCCCTGTCTTCTTACAGGAACAGGGTTCACCCAGCTTCTTGACGCGGCCGCCCGTGCTGTAAGAGCCGCACCGACGGCATACAAAGAGGAAAGAGCCGTCCGTGCAGTCCAACAACGCACAAATATGGTTGAACTGCTCAAGGAGGCTCGGGCACAGGCGGGGAGGCACTACACAGTGGCCAGTCGCTGGGCGCGCCTGACCTCGCTTGCCTCTCAGACACGTGCTGCACTGCCAAAACTCCCCAGACCAACACCACTCGTGGGGCGTCTTCGACGTCTGAGCTGGTGGGGCCTGGGGCTTGATGAATAGAACGCCAGATAAGTCGAGCCGCGGCCAGCGCGGCAAGAGCTTGGCTGCCAAGAGGACGACAGCCTTCGCAATCCTGATCTCACGCTCGAC